AACACCATTTCATTAAGCGCGTAATTCATCTAAATTAATGTAAAATTCTTTGAGCAGATTTCCGGCGACGCTTCCGCCTATCGTTCAGGACTTCCGTTTCCGGTCGAGTCTGAAGCCGACAAAAGGACTAATGAACATTTTAATGCTTCAATAAAACGGACATTTTACTGAAAGAATAAAGTTTTATCAAAACATATCTATAAAAAACTGCTTAAATACCAGTTAATAAATGACATTCATTGTTATAAAGAGGAAGAAATGAGCAGTTTGTTCTCAATAAAGACCAACAAGTTAAGTAACCAACATTAACTAAATAACTTTTAATCCGCAGAATTGCTTCCACTTCACGCCTGTCTTCTGTGTGCTCGTGGTATTGCACTGGACAAACTGGTCATGCAATGTGAAGATGTTAAAGCGGGCTTTACCACTGTTAAACCTTTGTTTGAAAGAAATACTATGATAGGAATTAGAAAAAAACAGACATGCACATTTAACAAGGAAACTACCACTTCACACCTGTACTGTCTTGGCGTGGTATAGCACCAGTCGATCGGGCATCGTTACGAATGAACGATTTGTTCAGCAAGTAATGCTATTTTGAGACCAATGGTTCACATCTTCTTCTTAAGGTGCCTCTTCAACTAGCGAAAGTTGGAGGTCAGTTCTCCAATTTGACTCTATCTCTTGCGCGGCGAAATAGTTGGGTGGACTCACGATTTCTTTCGACGACCAACACTCTTTTCCCATTAAGATGAGTTAGGATCATATCTACGAGTATGGTGCCTGATCACGTGGCCGAGATACGTTATACACCCGTTACGCATATAATGTACCCACAATTAGTATATATTTATTGCACAACATATAACATAGTAATATGTGAAATGTGCTTTGTAACACAATCTCTGGCATGTAATGGGCCAGAATTTCAAATCAAAGCGGTATGATAGAGCTTTGTACACAAAATCAGTGAAGCATGTCGGGACAAAGAGTTCACTCGTGCGTGACTTTGACCCGTAGCCTGATGTTTTACTTCTGGAAATCGTATATTTACTTCCTTGTTTGTTTAAATAATGATTCATTTGACATGTGAAAGGACCTTACAGTCTAACAATTAAAACCTAAGTAGTACTGTTGAGGGTTCTGGTTTCGAATTTTGAAACAGTTTTTTTGCAGTGTTTTTTTTTTTATCGTCGTGCTCTTTTCTCTACGAAAGGTCGGCCCAGGATCTTTTTATTTCTAGACGCATCATGTCTTATACACTTCCTTCTGAGAATGGATCAAATCTAAGGTGGGAGTGTGTGACTTTCCACTTCTTTCCACAATCCATCCTTTTTTTTCGGTGTTTCTTTACTCTCTCTTATATTGTTTATTTGTGTTTTATTAATTACCCCAAATACTTGTTTTAAAACAGTATTAATTAACGATATTGAGTTCTTCCAATAATCGTTAAAGTTCAAGACAATAAAATAATTAGCAACCAGTCTAAGGAACGAGATAAAAGTACAGAGTTTATACCAATAACTAGGGGCAGCCATAAAACACCGTCTTAAACGACTTTAGTTATATAAAATGTTACAAAGTCTTGGCTCATTGCCACAAGGGGACACCGTGGTCTGTTACCGTAACTGGCAGTTATGTTAAACTTTAAAGCAGTACACATTAACGTTGCTATTTCTACATTTTAGTTGTTAACTTTTGTCTAGTTTCACCTCATTACGCTATATCTTTACCGCTGGGAGTTTTTCGAGTTAAAAAAATCGAGGAAGTAAACGAATTCTTTTTTTTAAAGGTTACACATTTAAATAAATAAATAAATAAAATAATGTTTAATTCTTGTTAACACTACAATTATTTAAAAAAAAAAGTAATTAAACACAAGATAATGAGAAACGTAACTAATGAAATGAAAAAAAAAAGAAATATTTAAAATTAGCGTTGGGTCCTCGCTCAGCTATAAATGCTGGATGCTCCTATTGAAGTTCCGCGAGAACCCTTGGGATCATTCACACGTCAGTAGTAGCAGTGGATAGGTAAAAATTATCACATACACATGAGTAAAAATAAAGTGAAAGAAAAAATTCGTACGTAAACATGTTATGAAAAATAAAATGTATACAAAACTACAACACAGATTAAAAGAGTCATTATTGGAATAACACAAAAAGAATGTACGCATAATATGGTAACTGTTTTAAAAGAGAGAGAAAATAATCATCATGTTACCTACTATTACTAAATTGCCATTAGCGATATTTTGAGATTAATTAAATTCTCTTCTTATTCAAGGAAATAAAAAATAAAACACAAATTCAACGTATAATAAAATATTTATTGAAGCTCAACTAGCATAAACAATAAGATACACATATAGCCAAATTAAATATATTGATCTTAGAATAGTAAATTAAAACTACAGAAAAGTAAATTAGTTCAAAAATATACAATGATTTTATTACTCTGGGGTTTCAATTTGTATCTATTTCATAAAAAAAACCGTATGCTATCCGTGCAAATTATAAAATACGAGAGAAGTGACGTCACATCTCTGATATAGTTTGAAAAATAAACAATGTATGAAACATTAAAACGCAATCCAAACATTATCAAAGGCATATCATAATAAGAAAACAATGCTTTAAATTTCGTAGTTACATACTTTCAATTGCTCTAAAACTTGCAACGTTTTTTTATAGGATTATACTAAAAACTATAATAAAAAAATAAAGCAAACTATACAATAGATTGATGATTCAACACATAATGGTTTAAAAATGAATTTTAAACCTAATGTAAACTTAAAAATAAAAGCTACAGATGATAGCCAGTTTCTAATGTGACCCCGCACCTTATTGTGACGTCATAGGTCTCAAATCAAAAAATGTTGAATCTTAGACTCAGAATTATAAAAAATATCTTTACGCAATTTTTTAGTTAATTAACTTTTCTTGGTGAAATCTAGGAAACTGACGTTCACATTCTTATTTAAAACGCATAGTAATGACTGATATGTAATTAATTGAAATACAAAAAAAAAAACAGAATACAACCCAAAAAATGTTTCTTAATTATACAACAGTCAGTATATAAAAGCATGATAGAAAATATAATTTTACATTAGGACGTAAAAATATCTGTACAATTAAATTATCTCTTCTTGGAACATTAAAGACAGCTATTTAGAATGCAATTTAAACAAACATTTTTAGACAATGCAAACTCAAAGTTACCTAAACAACTTTTTTTATAAAAACAGTTTAACATAAATATTAAGCGAAAATTAATTAAAAACGGCTCAACTCACGCTTTTATCCTCCGGTGACGGCACCGACTAGTTTTGGACCCTTCGGGGATCCTTCTGAAGAAGTGAAAATTTTAACAACAATAGCGACACTTCAACATTTTTGAACCCGTCGACATCTCCGTCGAGCCGAGCCCTCCGCGCTCTGGCCCGCAGTGCGAGGTGCGACGTGACCGCGAACAAAAGTTAAATAATACTCGCCCTGAAGAAGGATCCCCGAAGGGTCGGAAACTAGTCGGTGCCGTCACCGGAGGATAAAAGCGTGAGTTGAGCCGTTTTTAATTAATTTTCGCTTAAAATAATGTCTCACGTTAGTTTAAACAATTTAACATAAATATTTATAAAAATAAAAAGAAAACATATTAATAACTGACATTTTACATACAAGTATAACAGTTTGCTTATAAAATAATTTATTCTTAGACTAGTCAAACATAATTTTATAGTATGCTTCTTGTGACATTTCTAGAATATATTAAAATATCATGAAAAAAGACTCTTGCATCTTTATAACATTAGAATAAAACATTTACAATTACAAAAACTGTAACAATCAAAGCAAAGTTTTTTTTTATTCAATACACCTTTGACTAAACTATCACACAACTGTAGTGCGATTGATGTGTTTCTTAGCCAATTCATTTTGTTGCACTAAAAATCGAGTAATATGCGCACTTCCATAGTTCAAAATAATCAAAGCGGGACTAAACAGTTGTGCGATAGTTTGAAGCTCTAGCTCTAAAATCGTAATAGCAACTGAAAAACTTTATTATCTGGATGATCGAACCATTCCCACACATTTACGAATGTATCATTAAAACATCTTTCGGATCGATTATTGGGATTGGTTTATATTATCTGCAATAACACAACAATTATTTTTAAACTACGTCTTGTACAAATATATTTATATACAGCCCCCTAGACAAAGTGACTTTCGATTAGATATATCGTTAGTTGAATCGACAAAATGTGTCAAAATGTATAGAAATGATTTTTTTTTTTTATAATATAAGGTGGCAAACGAGCAAGCGGCCACCTAAATCCATCGAAACGGAGAGCGACCGCTGTCCATAAACAACCGCAATTGCAGATGCGTTGCCTACCATTAATTGACGGGGGAGGAGACGCACATAAAGAGGACATTTCCCCTTCCTATACGTCTCCTCCAACGGCAAATCCACTTTCCTTCCCATCTTTTCCTCTTAAGAAAAGGGTGGAAAGGAAGAGGGACTATAATTAGGCCTCCGGCACCACACTCATCAGACGAATCGCGGAATTACTCCCACTTTACGCCTGTTTTCTGTGGTCGTGGTATTGCACCGGACGAGCCGACCCTGCAGTGCGAAGATGTTAAAGCGGGGTCTACCACTGTAAAACTGTGAATACGAGACTTATCGAATGTTGTCACTTCCATACATTTTTAATTTTTCGATCTGCGATAGCGATAATCGAAAGATACTTTGTCTAAAGAGGCAGATTACAAAGCTCTATACATCCTTTATCTATCTATTTACTATTTACTAAGCTGTATAAAATATTGTTTTATTTCAATAAAGGCATTGAGGTTTTTTATTGATTGCATTTTTACTGTTAACCAAAACCTATGGTATTACTAAGTCAATTACTGTATTGCATTTTTTGAATAAATATACTTTTATAGGAGTTTACTGTATTTTAGTTATTTTTTTTTTAATTCAGTATTGTAAATATAATTCGTTGTAAATGTTTAGTAACGGTTCTTTTCATATATCTTATTGGCTCAAGGTCATTTGCGCACAGCACACTTTAACTAACATTGTATTTTGCGTACTAAGACTGTGTTTCGAGCCGCCAAGATATTTGACAACAACTATACTAGCTACTATTTATTCTATGCTTGGCTGCTGAAGTCCATTTATTTCCCATTATCTACTAGATAATAGGTTAGGTTTATCCAAGTTTAAATGGAGTAAAACTCAAGTTTGCTCTGAAACAGATTTCTTGAAACTATCAAATCAAAAACAGTAACGAAAGGTTAAATCTGGGAAACCAAAATATTCTCTACCGCACAGATATTAATCTATACCAAGTTTAAGGGCCTGTCCCACTAATGGCTGATAGAGGCTCAGATAGAGTAACAAAATCCTATATTTCCATTATATATTTTACACGTTGTGTTATTATCAGACAATTTCCAATTTGGTGCATATGCCCTTAATCACCAATTAATTCAGGTTGTAACGATAGGCAAATTGATAAATGAAATAATTTCGCTTTAAAATCCATTCCTTGCTATACGTGTTTACATAAGTTAGGTATACATATTCAGTTCTCCAAAACAGGTTATTTTTATTAACTTGAATAGCATATGCAATATATCTGGTATATAAGAGAGATGCCACATGAGCGGCGACGTAGCGGCGGTGTGCCGCATGAGAACCGGATGCGTGTACGTAAGGCGCGTGATTTTTTGTTTTTAAGATAAACTAATTACATTACCGCCACGCATCTCTTATACCTGTCAATGTTAAGTGTATTCAATGTTAACAAACGATTGGACGACTCGTCTAAAGTGATTCTGGAATAAAGTTTTTCACTGGACATCGACAACAATCACGTTGCGACTGCGTTGCAAACCGCTTGTATGGCATCGCTTTTAATTAAAACCATTACATTATTTTTATTTAATTAGTGTTGCATTTTTAATCGTTTTTATTATATCCAGTAAAATTAAAATATAGTGTTTCTCATGTATTTGATACTTGTGCTGTGCAAGTATTGCAATTTTTTTTATAAATATAGACGATTAAAAAGCATACCATTAAATACAATTGGCTTATATAAAATTTTACATTTTCTCTTAATTATATACATATAGTATATACACATATAACTATTTTCAAAGCTGTAGCATAATTTCTAAGATTTATAAATACAAAATGATCAAAACAGCAACAAAGGGTGCATCTTTTTTTCTTATATACAATATAGGTTATATAATTGTGTTATATAAACAACAAACGAGTTTCTAAAATATTTTGTTATAATATAGCAAATAAATACATCGATCAAAGTAGTTTTTTAAACCAAACATGACTGAAAATTTTACATTTGAAGCTTTTTCTTTGGCGTATTATTTTAGACAGCCTAAAAAGAACCTGATATTTTTTGATCACGATTTACTTACTATATTGCTAACAAATCCGCATAAACATATCAAAAGTAAAACAGATCGTATTACGATAGGCATAAGATCGACTATCTAATATCACTCGCCGTTAGAAGAACTCACCGCGGCGCACTCAGTCCATTGCCGGCGAAGCGACCGCCGGCCCTCGTGCCGAGACGCGACTGGCGCGTGACGTCACACGCCCACGTCACGTTCATTGGAAACGCGCATATCTGTGAATGCAAAGAATTATCAATTAAAATACAGATACCAAGAAACATTACATCATGAATAAATAATCTTACTAATATAAATAGATCTCGACGAAATTTAACATAGATGTAGAGCAAAGTTTGGGAGAACACATAGGCTACTTGCTTTTGTTATTTTATGTTACCATGCAGACAGAGCCGAGGACGAAAGTTAGCAAGACATAAGATTCGTATAACCTGGTAAAATAGACTCGATAAAGATATCTAGAATCAGAAAAGATATTAGAAAAATATCCATAACGAAAACCCGGAGACCAATTTTACTTCCTTTCCCTTTCCATTAATTTTTATAAAAACCGGATGACAAGGTAAAGTGGATTAGGCAGACAGACAGAAAGGGAAATATCCTCTTCATATGTGTCCCCCCCGTCTTAGAAGTAGTCATAACTGAAAATGCAGATGTCTATGAACGGCGGTGGCTGTGTTATTTTGGCAAGGACCACGATTGTTAAGTAATATCACATTTTTTTTGCTGCGGGCGATAATAATCACATTTTTGTGAGAAATCTTAAATCAATTCCATATTTTTTTGTGTAACCATCATTATATTCTGCGATGCGACACCGCCAGTGTGGCATATCTCTTACTTTTGATTAAAATATTAACAAAAGAACTGACCTGCGCTGTCTCGAGCGCTACAACTGGAAGAGGTCATCGTGCGCCCTCTCGAGGCGTTTCAGCGAGTTATCGACTCTCCGGCCCTGCGTGAGCGCGGCCGGGGGCGGTGGCAGCGGGGGCGGAATCACCTCGTTGTAGGAGGAGGTGGCTCCCATCGACGCCGACTGACGCAGCCGGGCCGTCGGTCGGTGACGCACGAACCCATCCTCCAGGTCTTTAACGAACCTGGAAATGAGAATTAAAAAATAAGAGATACGAAACTCCAATGTTTTTTTTAGTTTTTAAGCTAGTGCTTGACCACGATCCCACCGACTGAGTGATGTGAGATTCTTGTCGTTTTAAAAATATTTAACACGTTCAGCGCGACTGAATCTCCCAAGTAAAAAGGAACAATCATAGTGGCATGCAACGTGTTAATTGTTATCACATAATCTTAATGCATACTTAAATAAAAACTAAAGAAAGCATGTTACAAAATGAGACATCAGATAAGGTTTGTGCAAATTAATTCGTTATCAACATAGATTCCTAAATTCATACTGCTAAAAGGACTATCCAAACTGCATCTTTAGTTTCCGTAAAAATAATAAAACATATCAACTATACTATCAGATTTCATCATAAATTAAAAACATCAACATGACAAACAAGTTTTATTATGTAACATTTTGCTATCCATATAAATACTTATTTTTGTCGTTAGCCAATCCCCGGTGACCGCTTTTTTAAGATAAATTAACTTAAAAGAGTTACAAATACATTCTCACTAATATATACTTATCCTCGCATATCATCCCTTAATAAATCGAGGGCTCTTACGTAAACTATCAAATGAGAACAAGTCGTCGTCGATAGAGGGAACGAAATTAAATCAGATCCCCTTTGCACGAGCAGGGGGGTAGCGCAGGGTTCGTCGGTCTCCAACATCCTCTTTTCATTGCTACTTAATGATCTGCCGAATAATGTAACTTCGGGCGAAACAGTTATGTATGCAGATGACGTGGCCGTCGTCGTGTGCGCGTCATCGCCGACCGAACTCGAACGACGGCTGAACTCGGCCGCGCAGGAGGTGGCGCAGTGGCTCCAGTGGAACGGTCTCGTAATGAATCTTCAAAAAACACACTACGTCCATTTTGCAACGTCAAGTAGTAAACACCGGGAACTTTCGGTCTCAATAGGTAATACTAATATCGAAGAAGTAAACTGCACGTCATTTTTAGGCTTCGAAATTGACCGCGGCCTCGCGTGGGGTTCGCATATCGACAAACTGTGCGGTAAACTAGGCGCCGCGTGCTTCGCGCTGCACCGGCTCGCGCGTGTCGTCTCTGCTGACGTCGTCCGCACCTGCTACTTTGCGACCGTACACTCGCTGCTACAGTACGGCGCCGAGTTGTGGGGGCGCGCGGCCGACAGGGATAGGGCATTCCGGATGCAAAAACGCGCGGTTAGGGCGATTGCTAGGGTACCGCGGACGACTACGGCGAAGACGTTGTTTGTTTCGTATAAAATTCTTACATTGCCATCGTTAGTGATTTTCCAGGTTGCGATGTTTACACGGCAGTCGCTTCACGACTTTAAAACGCAAAAGGAGTCCGGCAGCTGTAGGATGGTGACTCGCGGCGCGGACAAGCTGGCTCCAGTGGTGCACCGACTCGCCAAGACAGAAAAATCTACGCACGTCATGGGGCCCGCCGTCTACAACCGCCTGCCGGACCACGTCACAGCGGCTACCAGCCTCGCGTCATTTAAAAATAAACTTAGGTCATGGCTAATACAAAAAGCCTTCTATAGTTTCGAAGAATTTTTGCTTCCATGATTGTTTTATGTACCCAATTCTTATTCAGTCATTTTTAATATATGTAAAGTTTTTTATTTTTTTAAAAAATTATGACTTGTAATTCGATTACCAATAAAATATTTGTATTTGTATTTGTATTTGTATTTGAGAACATAATAAAGAAAACTAAAATCTAACTTCTAACTAATATTAAAAATGCGAAAGTTTAGATGGATGGATGGATGTTTGTTAGAGTTTGTAGCTTAAACGGCTGAACGGATCTGGATGAAATTTGGCATAGATGTAGAGCAGAGTATGGAAGAACGCATAGGCTATTTGTTTTTGTTTTTTTAATACCACGCGGACAGAGTCTCGGGCGAAAGCTGGTTCTTTATAAAGTTCACGTATAAAATATATAAATCCATGTTCATATATAAAAAGTTGGCAGCCCTACTTATAATGCGAATAATACTATAATTAGGCCGTGATATATTTAAGAATCTCGCAAACAAGTGTCTCACTGCAAAAGGACCACTTCGGCAACAAAACTAATATTAGCCGCGCCTCGGTCAAAAGAAACTCGATAAATAGGTCATCAACACACTTAAATCACTAATCTTTACACATATAATAAAATTGGATATTTGTTTGTAATATCTAAGGAAAGATTTTGGGAGGATGATGTATTTTGCGTTGGTGATAACGAAAATCGCATTAAAAAATTTTGTTTGTCTGTCTGTCTGTCCGTAGGCCGCGTTTGTTCTGGGTATTCTCCGAAATGGCTGGCCCGTATTCGATAGGACATTCACTGATGGATAACTGACATAGACGGGCATATTTTTATCTTAATATTGCGAGGACGAAATCGCGGGCAATAGCTAGTCATACACATAAAACTGATATCACATTTTATGGATGATATTCGGTTGTGTGGGAACCATTAATGTTGATATTTAAGTTAATTTGAATTTTATTAATCCAGTTCTGCTTGAACTTCCCATATGCAAATAAAACAGTATAACATTTGTAGATATCTAAGAGTTCGTGTGAGTCACAAAAGCAATTTAAGGAAGAACTTGGTAACAAGACTAGAAGATTAATATTTTTATATCAACTTGACCTTGTCACTTCAATTAGTCTTCTAGCTCCTTGTATGCTGTTCACAATGACAATTTTTCCATCTAATTTTTCTTAATTGTCACATTAATAATTATTACTAGACTAGAAGCAATTTAATATTTGTGGTTAAAACGTACGGCAGTTTACGTAGGAGCCATCGAAATAAGTCTTTGAATACAACGCTATCGATCACTTTCTGTTCATTGAAAACTCAATAGATTGTACTACAAAGAATCTCCCGCAAAGCGATTTCTATGGTTTGTATTAATAATCAAAATCCTTAGAAATTAATCACATCATCATCATCACCAGCTCACTGTATGTCCCCACCGAGGGGTTCGGAGCCTACCCTAAAAAGGGGTGACTAGGCCATAGTCAACCACGTTGGCCCACTGCGAGTTAAACACAGCCAAAGCATAATTCAATATTAGGTGAATATCGATCCCAATTTTTTTGCTACCAATTTCATTCTAAATACATTCAGATTTCAAAACCAGATATTCAAATAAGAACTTTAATGTAAAATACACGTTAAGTCCTACAAAATAATATCGTTTATCGCATGTCAGGAGCGAATCAAAGCAATTGCGCACAAGTCGCCAAAGTCTTATCACGAGGTCAATAAACTAGTGAGGAACGCCTTGTCTGTCCATGTTTATACATTGCCTCAACGAAAGCGAAACGAAGGGGGAATCTTAACTGATATTGAACCAAATGTTTACTTAGCGTGGCTTACTACGTATTTTAAGTAGGAGGGTACGTCCGTCGCAATATGACTAGCCGCTTTACATACAACAAAACTAGACAAATTACCTCATGAACATTATCGCCAACAGGCAAATTAGTAGCAGTAAAAAAAATCACATCTCATAATAAAAACAAATTGTTATTGCTTCAGTTGGAACTCGTACATTACCGTTTACCGTCGCCTTCCTTCCCCTTAAGGAAACTAAGACATACATGACATATGACGTCACACTAATGCGTCTTGCAGGCACTTGTAAATAAATATAATGTGTTTAGAAATAAATTAACTTGTCAGATAAATAACTTTAATATGCCGCATAGTGATAATGTCGCTATCAAAAAAAAACTTTATAAACATCATACATTTATAACTAACTAGCTTTCTCCCACGAATTCGTCTGCCCGGAATTTTAAAAAACTTAGTGAGTGAGCTTTGTGTCCTTCCAGACTATGTTCTACAACTGTGAAATTTTTATCAAAATATGTTAAGACATTTTGAAGATACGCAGTAACATCCATAAGCATCTATGACATAAGCGAGAAGTAAATTCTGCTTAGAATAAAATATTAACAAATAATAATGGTAATACATAAAAAAGAAGAATTGAAACTTCATTTTTGAGTATAGATATAAAAGCTTATCTGTACTTAACCATTCAGTTAAATAAGAATTTAACGAGGGTTGAAGGAATAACCTCGAACGGCCTGCACGCATACCTCTTGTATACTTTTCGGTAAAACGAAAATAGGCGTTGTCGAAACATTATAAAGCTTTTGAGTCCAAAAAACAATAACAAATTGACCAACATTCACCAGTAGATAAGCTGTAGATTACTAAAAGGGTTAAACTTAATAAATAAGATATCGCGAATATAATCCTGATATGTAGAACAAAAACTGTTTTGGTGAATTTTTACAGCCACTTCACAAAGAAGCAAATTTTGTCGTCAATAATGTTAATATATCTATATCTATACTTCTATACTAATATAATAAAGCGTAAACACACACTACTTCGTGGCGTAAGATATCAGCAATCAAAGCATATTTTTGAATAGTCCTTTCTTTAATAAAAATCTCTACACATACGACACGCTTTAGGCTATATATTTTCAAACTATTATAGCTAGGGGGTAAATAAATTGGAAAAAACCTTCATGTGAGAAAGGGACCATAAACTACAAGCTCGCAACATTAGAGCAACGTTATTATGGTAATGGTAATTTAGACATTTGCAATTGAGAATTTGACAAATATAGATAAAATATTTTATAATTTCATGCGGATGAAGCCGCACGGGAAGTTATTCAATAAAAATATAGAACACGTGTTGGCCAATATTATTGCAATGAAGTATAATGTAATGATAGTATAAAAAACGTTATTGCAAATTGCTTTTATGGTTACCGAGTTATTTAATAGTTAACTAACAGTTTGGCTTCTAAATTAATGAACGCCTTTTAAGACCTTTGAGCGCCAAAATAACTCTGAATCCAACCATATCCGAGTTATGTCATTAGTTAATATTGTAGTATCTCCAATGTTATCAGACAAGCAGGGCACAATTTACGTGACCCAAAATAAACCGTTGACCATGAGACTTTCAGTAACGATGTGTAACATACTAGCCAAATATAGCCGCGGTAACGACATTTTTATACTAATTGTTTGTTTTTTTTTTTAAGTGAAAGGCAAAGGTATTCTAGCATTTCAACCAAACACAAAACATTAACTGCCAGTATTAAAGTCGGTTAGGTAAATTTATATCTAAATAAAATCAGAGTGTCTGTAATATAAAAAAAAAAAAAAACATATTTCGGGAAGATGATGTATATGCGTTGCTGATAACGAAGTTTGCTTGTATTTTTTTTGTCTGTCTGTCTGTCCGCAAGCCGCGTTTGTTCCGGGTAATCTCCGAAACGACTAGGCCGATTTCGATCGGACTTTCATTAAAGGGTAGCTGACAAAGACGGGCATATTATAGGCTACTTTTTTCTTAACATTGCGCGGACGAATTCGCGGGCAACAGCTGGTTTGGAAATAAAAATCAACTCTGAGTGTACCAAAAGGCAATCTAACGCATGATTAGAAAACACCACATGGCTAGTATTTTGCAATAGGGCTAGTTTACAGAAAGTGATAAGATTACTCGCAACATGGTAAAAAGCATACGATCCTATTTGACGACTCCTAAAAAGCCGATTTTATGAACTAAAAGTATAGAAAAATGTGTAAATGTTCGTACTTAGTTTACAAACATTATAGTAATTTAACCGAATAAACAAGAAATCAATTTAAACTACCCATCAAATAAACGAAAAAAAAGTTGTTGAACAAAACAAAGGAAAAAACCAATGAATGACTTAAAAAGCGGTAAATAAGAAAGGCGCAAGTCACATGATCGACGCGGATGCATAGTTAGCAGTTAGCACAAACCACTCGTGACCTTGTAATCAAATCTTGCAAAAAATATGATACATTACTGTAAAATGTCTCAATAGCTTTATGCAACAATATATTGTGGACAATGAACTTTCAGATATTTAGTAACAATAATAATTACATCAGTTTTACAGAAAACATAGCATATGTTGTGGACTTTTACTAGCATATGAATTAAATAAATCATTCCTTTTAATGAATCAATTGTACTTTAGAAAAACTCTAGGCAAAGTCTGTGTCTATAAAAATAAAATTATTAATGAAACCCTTTGCTTGCTTCTTTTATCATAGATTATTTTAATAATCCTAACAATTAATCCTACTAAAGAAATAACATCTCTTAAAAAGTCAAGTTGTACATACAACTTGTTTTTTGTTTTATTTTAGCATTGAAACACATGCAGACTCCAGCTAGTAATGTACACAAAGGTTTATATTTTTTTATTTCATAAGTTGACAAACAAGCATGAGGCTACCTAAATCCGTCAAATTGGCAAAGCTACCGATGCCCATAAATATCCACAATAGCGGATGTGTTGCCTAACCTTAATCAACAGAGGAGATGCACATAAAGAGAATATTTCCAATTCCTATGTGTCTCCTGCACCGTAAAATCCATGTTCCCTTCCTAATCTTTTCATATAAGAAGAATGGGAAGGAAAAGGGACGAAAGTTGGGCCTCCGGCACCACACTCATCACACAAAAAGCAGAACTGCTTCCACTTTACACCTAGCTTTTGTGTGGTCGTGGTATTTCACTGAATTAGCCGGCCCATTCATGCAAAGATGTTAATGCTGGATCTACCACTGTCGAAGCATTGTAAAACATGCCAAGCCTAGCTAGTAATGTACATAAAAGTTTACATATTACCTAATTTAAAATTTAATAACAAACTTGCATGTTAGTCAGATAACCCAAATTACAGCCATATTTCACTATCAATTGTAGAAACAGAGTACAAAAGTCATATAAGTTAAAAATAATTTAGAGTTCAAATCTTTAAGTTGTGACTTTCATAAATACTTTATCAGTGTAACTGTACACATGAGTTATCTTACAAAGCCCATATTTACATTGTACTTATATTATCTGTAGCATGGTGCTGGTTTAGAATTCAAGGGCAGGAGTGAGATATTTTCCATTTGGTAAAATAGGTGATTTATTTAATTCTATGATGAATGGGTGGAAAATAAGGTATTGCATAAGTTACAAAATAGTTTTGTAGTGTAGTTACAAAGTAACTTGTACAGTCAAAAAATGCTGTTACTAATATTATAAATGCAAAGTTTAGATCTACAAACATTTGTTAGATCTCTAGACTGGCTCAATGGATTTTGATGAAATTAGGTGTAGACGTAAAACATAGTCAATGTGATAAGTTTTTTCTTTATTCTTTATGGACAGAGTCATGGGCAATCACTAGTTACTACATTTATTTCCTTGGATCTTGTTAGAACTCTGTTTATGATTAAAAAGACTACTTATAAATGTAAAAAATAACAAATATACTCACTCGCTGTTTTCTTTGCTTTTTTCAACATGTTTTTTAATGTCTGCAAGTGAAGAATCCAATCTGTTAAGGAAATTATCAAAACTCTTCTTTTCATCAGGACTTCCGGGGGAGAAGTCCCGTGATTGTCTAGACATGTCCGACATTGAGGCCCGATGTAGGGGCATGGAGGGTTCCGTAACCCGTTCACCGTTCTCATAAAAGGGAGAATCTCTGGTTACAGGAATCAGTAAATATTCTCTCAAAAACAAACTGTCGGTCGCAAACAAACGATTCGCTCGTCTTATCTTTTCCATCTACAACAAAAATATCAAGTTACTTTCATTTGTATGCTAATAGATTTAACAATATATTTATTATAATAGACTTACTGTAACGCCATATTTAAGGGCAATTCCTTGTAATGTATCACCCTTCGACATAACGTGTTTGATGTATTCCTCGTTCCTCTTCATATGATTGCATGTGCTTCCATATTTTTTTAGTGGGCGAGCAGAATCTCGAATAGAAATTCTTTCATCAAAAAGACGATCCTCTTCCATGTTTGACGTATAAGAAAATGAAATCACATAATGACAATTGACAAGACGACAAAACAAAGTGACATTCTGTCAACGAGAGCACAGCATATACATACACAGCATGCAGAAAATACTTTTTTTTTTCGTTTAAAAAGAAAACGAAGTATTAAGAAAATAATGGATAAAATCATAAATTATAATAATATGACGAAGTTCAGTAGTTTTACATAAATACTTGGTACCAGCATTTCTTACTCCCACCAAAAATAAGTCTTTCGACATTATGTACCGATAGATGGCGCATTTTTTTATGAATCTCCAAGTCTCAAAGATGTTCGTTTCATTCGTAGTTCAATCCAATGAATCATTCCATTCATTCATTTAGTCTCCGGGAAGTTTTTGTGAAAAGAGGTGCGTTGTGTTGTTTCGTACGAAAACTGAATTGTTTTGGTTAAAAAAATTGTGGTGCTTCTATTAAAGTTTGTGTTTCGTTAAAAGTACTTTCTTTATTTATTTTCAATTGATAATTTCCGGTGATACAAAGTTAAAATTGATCTTTTATTTATTTGTTTTAAACACATGTGATCGATACAATTAAGTTACGAGTTTTCGGGATACACGACGGTATGTATGAAATAAGTGTTTTTAAAATACAAATTGTGAATTTTGTAAACATTGAATTATTTGGTAACGGGGCTTGTTTTCCCCAATGTGGTGCGCACCCGCCCTGTAGCGAAATACTGCGAGGGTTGGATGTTGGATGGCACGGGCACATTTATATTGAGCTATATTTTAGGGTGTGCTTGTGTGAACACTATTTATTGCGTATTATATTATTTGGCTGTAATATAGACATTTCAATATTATAGCTAAAATGTGTAAATTAATTACCTTATAATAAACAGTGATTCGTTGGTAATAAACTCACAAATCATGAAATAATTATCCTATACGTATGTATCCTGTAAGCTTCAATACCGGGAAGACGTAATCGATACCTAATAATAACCCACATTGAACTTGCTGGAACCGTTTTGCGGAGTAAATTGATAGTCCTCCTGGAATTCTCTTTCATACCAAAGCAAAGCTTCCTAATTTTTATTATTAAACTGTTATAAAACACAATCAGGAACTCAAATGCTATTCGGTTTCACATTTTTAAATAGGATTCAAAACTTTCGGACATTCCATTTTCAAATTTTAATGACTATGGAGGTGATGTTCATTTGTTTTAATAACGGTAAATCAGTTGACAGTTAACCCCTTTATTACCGCTATTACGTCATAAACATAACATTGGGTTCTTCACTACACCTAGTCAATTTCTAAGAATGCATAAAAACAGCTGGTTTCTTCTTCAACTTCTGGTAAAAATGCTATAGCTGAGTTTCATTCTTGAGAGTCGTTCCTTAATCACGCTATAAAAATGTGATTTTCACTTTAAAAATGTGTACTCTATTGCGTCGAGACATTGTATGCGTACAATGACAAAGCTAACTGCAATGTTATTCACTTTTATATAATTTGCACGAAATAGAATTTGTTGGTAATTTATCGTAAGTAATCCCTTACCTAGTCTAAATTGTAAATTAGAAAAAAAAAACAAATAAAACTAGGTTGACAGTATCTTGATAGTTCAAGGCAAAAAATAAAAGTGTACGTATGTAGGTCATACACTTTTATATCCTGTATTTGTTATCTAGCTATTCAATAAAAATGATTACACGAACATTAAATATACAAATATGATTGTTTTTTTTTTTAATAAGGAAAAAGGGCAAATTAGCAACACCTAGATATCACCAATAAAAAGCTCACTGGGGTGGGCTGCCAGATACATTCTTGAGGAATCATAGAAACTTATCAAATCTAGAAAATAATTTAGACTAAGGCACTCCCTTAATGTGGATATGGCTAGAGTATAAATCTAACTACTTTTCGTAACTTTAAACAAATCTTGGTGCTGCGGTCTGCGGTCAAGAAAGTATTTCACTATAAATAATTTTTCCAACTATTTTTCTACAAACAAATTTTAATATCGGGAACGATAAGTAGACTTACAATTTTTAAATAACCAACCCCCGATTTCAAATAAGAACCCTTCAGTCCTTAGTTTGTAAGAGGCGAGTAAATTGAGCGTAAGTAACCAGCCCTCAGTGACGAAGATCGAAGAGGCCCTAGACCTGCGTGCCAAGTGAGCCAACGGAAATAATATTATTAAGTAAAGGACTTGAAAAATGTTATTCTGACACAGCTGACTATGTTTACTTAGGTTAGTAATGTATTTTAACCTAAATCTAAGCGTTCCAGCTGCGTAACATAGATAAACTTATCGGTATTTGCATGAACTTCTGTCATGCATGCGTGCATGTATAGACCGACTAGGATATCTGTCCCGATGGGCGTAAGGCAAACTAAATTATAATAGCTCACTATTGCTTGTCGATGTCAGAAAAGTGTCAAAAAATCCTTTTCGTAATACTGTTATGTCCTTTTTTATTTTATCAGGTTATACATATTTTCTGACCGAACTAACCAATAGCAACCTATTTGACTATTTAGGTTTTATAAAAAAAGTAACTAGCCTATGTGTTCTTCCAGAGTATCCTTTACATTTTTGTTAAATTTCATCGAGATCCGTTTATCAGTAGCTACAAACTATAACAAACATCCATCTAAGCTTTCGCATTCATATTGTACTCACTGCCCATTCCTAACTTATTTTGTGGAAATATTAACATATGAACATAATCAACCTTGACAAATTAAAATTCCCCTGATTCATTTATCAACCTGTTTTACAATATTACATCGGTTCAACTAATCTCGTTATAGTGTCAACAAAAAGACTATAGAGAAATGACTTGTGACTCACGCGTTACGAACGCGGAACGTTTAAACTTATTTGAATACAGTGATACATTTTTCTTAATCTTTTTTTTATTCCATAACCGGCCAGTACTTTGTAAAAGAAAAAAAATCATGAATCGTTTATTCGTTAATTACTCTTTGCCAAAACACTTACAGCAAACATTTAACTTTATTTTAATTAGGCATGAATTAATCTTATCGACTTATTACTATAGCTTTGAGTAACCATTTTCTCTTACTTTATTTATATAAATTATCAGAGTTGTTTACAAAAATATACCCAGATTTATTGATGACTTTCAAGGTATTGTTCGTAATAATGTCGTATAACAGGTTTTATTCAACGGCATTATATTGTAATGAGTCACGACTGCGACGTTTGACCTCTAAGAATCTTATCCGTAATCGTGTCCGTAGATCTTATCAGTTGACTTAAACCGTATTGACATTACCCACCCAGAAAAAGTAATTCTGTCTTGGATATACCTTCGTAGTAGACAAATCTTTACTACTTCACTGTTACAAAAAAATGTTTGCAATTATGTGCTTTATTCCAACTTAAAACCGCGCCAAATTGATGTACGAGGAACCTAACCTTCTGGGTTAAAAGCGTGAGTTATATTCTTAAAAAATACGCGATATTTTTCTGTTCATAAATTTATACAGTCGCTTTACATAATTTATTAGAATGATTTTGGGTATTCTATTATCTTAGAAAAATTAAAAAAGTATTGTTTTCTCTTCCCCACTTAGGTAAAATAGCAGAGACAAATTTAAAAGATTGTAACTGCTATATACTCTTGTACAGTTTAAGTATTCGCACTTACCCTTTTTTAACGGTCCGTAACTACAACACGCAAAACAATAGCATGCTTTGTACTCCGAGCCCGGGGAACGAGGGAGTTTTAAAATTTACCTAGATTCTGTCCCCAACGGTAACATTTACACACCTTTAAGGTAACATTCAAAAAGCTTCATACAAACGCTTCCCTTCTTATTGTTTTAAGATTTCAATATTGAATCGATGTGATTTTGTTATTTAGTAAAAAAAACAAAGTCTAGTGCATTCAAGGATCTTTTGATTACTATAGCGTAATATTCAAGACCATAACTATTTTATTTATATGAAAATATACTTAGGCGAATCGGTTACTGAACGGGTTCATTTTTAAAAAGCTAAACACTTTTATGGTTTTTACTTTATGACTATGCATATGGATGCTTTCTCAAGGTAGAGTCAGAACAATTCCGCTCTTCAATCATTAATACATAAAGCTTGTAATTAATTAATCATTTTTTTGTTACAACAAATCATGACATCAAAAGAAATACACACGCACATTCATATCTTCCTTACAAAACTAATAATAAGCCGGATAGTGCGTCTCTTCCGTTCATTGTGTTCTTAGTGAACAAAGAAAATACATTGTAAATGTGGCTTAGATTGAGCGAAAGCGGACTTTTTGCAGATGACGTCACGCGTCACGTCTGATGATGCGTTGAGCTCGAGGAATCCACGCTCAATTTCCGAGAATGATTATTATGGTTATACGTCACGATTACATGGAATTTTATTAGTGTTTGTATAATTAGTGCTAAACCTTATACTATTATTAGCTGTTGCTTGTGATATCGCCTACGTAAAATTATAACATAGTCATATAGCCTATGTTAGTGATAACATAGCATTTTAATGGTGCAAGAAATTTTAAAATCGGTCCAGTAGTTTTTGAGTTATTTCAACACATGCAAAAATACAAGTATTTTCTCTTTATAAATAGTACAGATTGTAATGAATGTTAGTTAAACTTATTTCGGTTTTATTGGACCTGAAAGTGGGAGTTAACGTAAGAAAACGCCAACACCACTTCTACACAATTTTCTAACAGACTGTAGTTCGAGCAGGTCCAGTTGGAAAGGTGGCAAATGGCGCCATCTACTAAATTAATCTGTTAACATCTCACTGCTTCAAGATTTCCAAGCATCGTATAAACAAACATTAACACGAGATTGTTCGTTTATGGACTGCAGCTTTTTTATTTCTTTGTATCATGTCGACGATCTTTCTTTTATTCTTGTTTTTGTAATCTATACTTCTATACTATTATAATAAAGCGTAAACACATACTTCTTTGTTGCCTAAGGTGTCAGCAATTACAGATTATTTTTGAATAATTCTTTTTTTAATAAAAAGCCCTAATACACTTGCTTCGCGCTTTAGGCTACATACTTTAACATCATTAAACTTAGGGGTATATATTTTGGATAAAAACTCTAATGTGGGAAAGAGACCATAAGTTGCTGCCAACAATAATAAAGGAAGGTTGTCATTATGTCATGTCATTTTGACATTTGTAATTGAGAATTTGACAAATGTAAACAATAAAATAAAATTTTCATAATTTCATGCGGATGAAGTCGCACGGGAACAGCTAGTACAGAGTAAAAGGGGAATAGAATAAATTGAAACTTTACTAATCGATCAGGAAAAAGCAATTACTTTTATTAAAAAGTTAATAAAACATTACGATCATAAAAATAACTCTAAGGATTGCATCACCAGCTCACTATACGTCCCCACCGAGGGGCTCGGAGCCTACCCTAATAATGGGTGACTAGGCCATAGTCAACCACGCTGGCCAAGTGCGGGTTGGTTGACTTCACACATATTTTTGAATTTCTTCGCCGATATGTGCAGGTTGCATCACGATGTTTTCCTTCACCGTAAGAACGTCGGGTAAATTATGTACATA